ATTTATCTTCAATGGGTTCCTTATAATGATTTAACAAATATTAAAAAGATAGGTGAAGGTGGTTTTGCAACTATATCCAAAGCTACTTTGTTAAATGGAGAAAGATACTTTTGGAAATAAAAGAATTAGCAGAGATAGGACTATAACACTAAAAAAACTACATAATTCACAGAATATTTCTGATGAATTTCTTAATGAGGTAAATTATTTTATTTTTCTATTAATTTCAGACTTTTAGATATTATTCTGAAATTCATTATAATTTTTTTTTATATAGTTTAGAAATTACGTTACATTTTATGGTGAAGATTTTATAAATAAGATTTATGGATCAACACAAGATCCAGCTACAAAAGAACATATCTTTGTAATGGAATACATGGAAGATGGAAGTTTTCAAGATTATGAAGATCCATATAATAGAACAAAAGAATATGGGGAGTGTCCAACCTGCAATAGATATAATACCTATTATTCATTGTGTCAATCATGTGATCCAAAGCTATTAACTGAAGGATGGACTAGTGGCAATGAAACATTGGATAAATTGATTAAAAGTACACAACTTAAAGCAACCAAGTATCATTATAGTAATCATCTCCAATGGATTCCTTATAACAATTTAACAAATATCGAAAAGGTAAGTGAAGGTGGGTTTGCAACAATATCCAAAGCTACTTGGTTAAATGGTTATAAAAGTATAAATGATGATTGTATAAATGATGATTATAAAAGAATTAGCAAGGATATGCCTGTGGCATTAAAAAAACTACATAATTCACAAAACATTTCTGGTGAATTTCTTAATGTTATTATATAATAACTTCTTTGGATTTTTTTTTTCATTTTGAAATTCAGATGCCAAATATGCACACTAAATAAAAAATAATAATTTTTGACAAAAAAATAAATGTAATTTTTAATAATCATTGTTATCATACATACATAATTGCAGCATTGTTTGTATCTTACCTTTTCAAAACAATGGTTTCATTTTTTTATAGTATTGACAAATTGAAGTGATGTACTATCAATATAAATAATTTATTAATATTAAAAATCTTAAAATTTAACTCCTCCAAACTAATATTAAAAATCATGTGAAAAAGTAAAGAAAAGGATTGAGAAAATCATTTAGCCAAAAAATTACAAGAATGAGGCTGGCAAAAAATACCTACTATTGCTCGAGTAAATTACAGCGAAATTATTGATAAAGAGATATTAGCAGTTAATTAATCCTCAATTAAAAACCGAACAACGGGAAAAAATAATTAAAGAAGTCGTTAATATTCCTAACTTTTTTTCCATTATCGAGACTGCTAATTGTGATTTTCACTATAAACTAAATAAAGGTATTGAAATCTTTGACCCTGAATACATGTATCTGAACAATTTAAATATAATAAAAATTATACCTAAATTATCAAATAAAAAGCCAACTGACACAATCTACAGTATACTGATTGTGAGTTTTGTTGAATCAAACAATGTCAAACTTCTGATCTTATTTGAAAACCCTGACATGGAATCTTTGATGTTTCCCCAATGGAAAGGGGCACTATGAGTATATAAAAATACCACCTTCAATAGATAGCTAGGTTCTTCCTGTATTGGTACTAGCCACATTATGATTGAGAAATTTTCAAAATTAGAACCAGATACTGGCCAACAAAAATGCAAACATCTATCAAAAAACACAACCTTGCCTTCAAATTTGTCCCCTTTTTTAAAAAGAAATAAGTGTAAGGCCTTCTATGACTTGATGGTGGCCAAAGACAAATGGACCCACTTGCATGGAGTGGCAACATCATGCCAAGCAATCACCCATTACACATCTACCTGCGCTACCAAAATATGCTGGAAATCCAATCCTCTCTACTTTTTCAACAATTGATAATGCCATATCATCATTATTTAAACTCAATTCGCGATTCTGCTAATAGTTTTTTGATTAATCCATAGACTAACGACCATCTGAATGGGAATAAGATAATAGAAACAGCGTTGCAAGGACTTTCATCATGTTGGAGATGCGATTTTTGAAGTTGCAGCTTTCATTACCAAAATCAACTCCAATCTTTGTAGCATAGTGGAAATTTGAAATGTTACACTAATTTTTTATATTGTGCAACGTAGCTTTACAATACACGGCAAACATTCTGGCAATAAAAAGTAAGTGATAAACTGGATTTGAATTTGATCCGAACTTGATCTCCAATTTAGAGAGGTAACAACTATACACTGGCGAAGTTTCAGAAGCAATGAGTTCTGTACAACATTTAGTGTAACAACAAACTTCCACTATGCTAATCTTTGTAAATCTGGATGATTTTCAATGCCTAATCAAGTTAATTATATTTAAATTTAGGAAATATTATTCCATCATGTATTAGTATATATTTTTGCCGACAAATGTGCCAGTATTTACTTTTTGAAATTGCCTGAAAAACCGGATATCTTTTGCATGCAATAATGAATCTATTTTTTTATTATGTCATCATGAAACCTTCCTCCAGAACGATCTTTTGTGAAGCTGTCAAATCTCTGTGTTTTCTCAATTTTCCACTATTAGAAAAAAAGTTATGACAATGTGCTTTTTGAGACATGAAGAGGAGGTGAACGAACCTCATAAAACAAAAATTCAATTGGGTTAATTTACATATTCACTCTTTCAACAATGTATAGAATGAACAAGTTTGATTTTTTGAACCAACTTCTGTATTGATATTTATGTTATTCAAACATTTTTTGGCAGATGGAAACATGTTTTTTATCGATATGTAATTGCTAGATGAAAAATGCTGTGAAAAGGGAGGTTAATTTTATTGATCTGATATATATTAAAGGTTGGCCAAACCATAATTATAGTCAAAGAATTTCCTTCTATTATTTTTATTCTCGATAATTATGAAAATACAATACTCAAGGGAAAGAACTGCTGAGAAAACGTTACTGGAAGTGAAATAAGGAAACTTGCCCTGTACATAGTTAAATAGTTTGAGCGATATAGTAAGAGAAAGTAATCAAAAAATTACATAACCGGATACTGCCATAAAACGAAATAAATATTAGTTTAACCAAATCCAAGAGATTTGTGTGAGACGCGGATTTTGATCTCACAATAGTGTGGAACAAAACATCAAGTTGGGTGCAATTGAGTCAGCCCGACTATTCAAGGGTGAACATGATTCAGAAATACCTTCATAAGACATCCAATATGCCAAAAACTTTGAAGAATATGCTCAGTGGTTTGATCAAATGATTATTTTTGCTGAATCAATGCCTTTTTTTATATATGGGTGTAATTGATAACAATAATGAATTTTTACATAAATTAATAACTAGCATGTATATTCATCAGGATTGAGTAGATCATAAATTAAATGATCTATACCCATGTTTGATTCAAATTATCTATTTCATTTAAACTTTATTATCAAATAATAAATCAAATAATTAAAATATCACTACATGAAAATTGGTGTTATACATTTTCAATTTCAGTTGATGAAAGATTTAATAATGATTCAGCCTGTTAAATATTTTGCAAAAGTATTAAATATTTTACCTTCCTGAGAATTAGTTACTGTAATAGGATTTATTAAATATACATATCGCAAAAAAACTTATTTTTTTTCAATCTTATATTTTACATAAAAAAGGAGGAATGGACCCATACAAACTATTAAATAAACTCATTACCAAATTGAATGAATTGATCAATGGAAATTTCCAGCTGATTAGAATTAACAATTTATTAAATGAATTAGTTGAATTGTTAAAAATAATAGAGAATTGTACTTGTTATTTATTTCAAACATTAAATTTCACTTATCTGGATCCAGAAAAGAAAAACCAATTAGAAAAATATTTGATGAAATGAATAAGATTAAATATGACCCTTTAAATGCTATTTATATCAGCAGACCATTTAATTTACAAATCTTCCTCAGCCTGCAAACTCCAATAAAGTCACAATCATTGGAAATGATAATGGTAATTATTTATTTAATTTAATTATAATTTTTTTAATTAAATAATATCAATATTAAAATTGGCAATATCAATACATCTATTATAGATTCTAATCAAATTAATTTGGATGCTTGAATGCATCATGCATGTAAATTATAATTATGCAAGTAAATATATATATTTCATAAACACACCTTATTGTTATATCTAAAAAATAGTATAATTCACATGAAATAGTAATGTGGATATTATTTTTTTGTAATTTACTTTTTAATAAGTGTTGTAACAGTCTATTTACTCGTTTCATATTTTCTAATTTATTATATTATATTATTATATTTAAAAATTTTTTTTTGATTTCGTCAACAGTTAAAGGATAATTAATCTATTATATTAACATTTAGTAAATTTAAATATAATAAAAATATAATAATTTTTAAATAAATGAATGTTCTTTAAACTCTAATATAATAATGATTAGTCTTCAAAAAAAATTTATACAAAAAATAAAACAAAAACTTTATAACTTATAAGATTAATTAATAATTTACAAAAAATAAAAATAAAATAATAATCTTTTTTTTTATAATATAAATTATTTTCAATGACTTCCAAAATATAATATTAATACATTAGCACTAATATTGAATCCAAATAAAGAAATAATATAAAAAATAAAAAATATTGCTATTGGATATAAAAACATTTCTGTGTGCAGAAGAAACGGAAGTGCTACAAAAAAATTGAGTAAATAAGTAAAATTGATTATTTTTGAAAAATATTCAATCATTAATCGCCAATCACCAAATCTTTGCCCAATCACTTACCATTATATCCAAGGAATGTTATATAACAGTAATAACTTACAGCAATTAGATACATGGTGTTTCCAAGGAATAAACAAATCCAAATATGTTTTACCAGAATTCTCATAAGAAAGAATTGAACAACATATAAAATCAAAAATAATGGAAAAAATGAGTTGCAGTGCACATCAAATGCATATGCCCATTCAACTGACTGTTCTACAGCGTGGATTGTTCGTTTATGTGTGAGAAATCTATTAGCAAATAACCTGTTACATAATAATAATTTTTAACGGTGATATTATTAAATAGTGATTAGATGATTAAAAAATTATTATTATAATTAATATTAAATATAATTAAAATGAGCCATATTCTAATTACCAACAAACTGATGAAATAAATAATCCAACAATTACAAAATCTACAAAAACCATGAAAGCTATCATTTTAAAGATTCCAACAATTCCATGTCCATATACAATTCCCCATGCAATAGCTGATACTATATAAATCAAATATTTAAGAGATGTTGTGAATATTTGAAGGTGATGGATATTAATATCAATATTAATTGATCGAGAAATAATTCCTTACTTCCTAATAGAAATGATAAAATTACAACAAATGCTGGATCATCTCTCGCCCATTGATTTTTTGTCTCTAATTTAATTAAATCAATTAAATCAATTAATATTGTTCTTTAATCTTCCACTTCCACTTCTAATTTGATGATCTTGATATATATTTTTTATTCCCTAAAAAATAACTTACGCTTATGATAATAAATATTTCTATATCTATAATAATTAAAATTTAACATTATTAGATTCTAAATTATTATTGTTATTCACGAACTTATAAATCTAAATTATCAATTATTACTCACACTCTCCTAGGTGATATACATAAATAAAACATTTGCCACAATGCAATTTCAAAATCCTAATTTTTATTAAGGAAAAAAAAATACATTGTTAATTATTTTTTTCCTTGTTAAAATTAAATTCATTATCTATAATTAATACTTGTGTGAAACATTAATAAAATAAGTAAATATTTTAATAAAACACCTTTAAAAAAACATACTATTACCATCTGTGGAAATCTAAATAAACGTCTTAAAAATATAGGAATAGATGCTGTCCAATAACTAGATCTTCGCTTGTATGGATAAACATCCTCATTAAACGAATTCCTTGGTGAAGTAATTGGTAAAATTGACATGTTTTTTATTTATATTTTAATATGTTATTTGAATGATGAATTATATGACTTGAAATTTATTTTGTTATATATTGTTTGTTTGTTCGACTGTTGCAAAAAAAAATTTATTTTTCTAAATCATTAGTGTTACACAAATTAACTTTATTATTTATATAAATGAATAATAAAATCTCAAAATAATTGAGCATAATATTAATAATGATTTGATTAAATTTGAAATCGAGTTTAAAAACAAATATAAAACAACGTGAATTAATTCGTCCCTTACTTTCTTTGACACGCTGATAACTTCTCTCTCATTATCTAATTATTATTGTTATTATTATTATCACGAAATGTTTTCCACTAATTTTATGAATGTTTCTTCTTCCATTGTTAAAGACGAACAAAAACGTAAATCTTCGATAGCAATTACTGCCACCGATGAATACATTGGTCATTCATTAGCTCATGATTTACTTTATAATCATCGCGATAATATAAAGGTGCTTCGTGCAATTGCAAAACATCAAAATGAAAAGCTTCTAAAAGATTTGAAAGATTTAGGTGCCGAGATTCATCTGATCGATTATGACAAGCAAAAATTTTAGACAAGGCATTCTCTGGTGAATTAGATGGTGTTATGTTCTTCACTGAATCCGACAAAAGAAAAGTCGAATTTGCCGATAAAATGATCCAGTCATTTAAAAAAGTTAAGGCTAAACATGTCAGTCTAATTTCGATAATCGAAGCAGACTCTGATTGTCCTGCTTTGAAACTTTTTAAAGAAATTTGAAACAAAATCTTGAAAAAATTGGTATTATGAGGTAAAAAGATGCATATGATTTTATATGTAAAGAATGTGATTACATACTCACGCGACGATATAATAATGTATAGATTGCCATTGTTGTATCAAAATTTCTTTTTTTTAAACCAATGATTGACGCCGAGGTTAAAATCAAATTAACATTGGACGCACAACAACACAAGTATTCACCAATCGATTTAGTCGATATTGGAAAAGTTTTGGCAAAAGTTATTGCTGCCTTGCCTCATACTGAACAACAAAACCAACAACTGTTTGCTTCTTTATTAAAAAACTCCAAAAATATCGTCATCGAGGATGAAAAATCAATTATCGTTACATTAACAGGACCTGAAAGTATAGCTTGTGAGCATGATGTTGAAAAACTTAATGATTTGGCAGGAACCAAGATTGACTATGAAGAAATTTCTCGTGACGATCTAAAATGCTATTATATTCTTTAGTTGTCGGCAAACAACAGTTACAAATTAGTAATAATATAAAGAACGAGTGCGATAGTTATCCTCCAACCAAAGAATTAATTAATCGTTACTATTGTGATACATTATTGGATTTATTGGATTGGATCAGAACCGGCAAAGATAGTAAGGTTTCCGATGATTTACAACATATAATTGGTGCTCCTGATACTAAAGTCGAAGAATTCTTTGAGAAAAATCCTCAATATTTTAAAACACAATAATCTGATAAATTAATGTTAATAGATTATTAACATTATTGATATTAATAAATAAAAAGATTGATTTTTTATAATAAAATAAACGTTGTATTGATGATTTATTCAAATACTGTTGATATTTACTTTTTTTTAAAAAAAAAAAATATAACGACGGCACCAAAGAAGAATCCAACCGAACATCAGAAGTTGTGCATAATATTAATAATACCACTGAAGTTTTAATATTAGTTTTGATAATGAAGAAGATGGATCACCAAAAAAGCAAACTATATCAAATGACCTGAAAATTCTTAATAATAACGTCATAGTCATAATCATCGGAATGGTTACTCAATTAACTATTGGTGCACAAGGTATTTTAATTTTATGATTGGAGTTGACATCTGTAATGTAAAATAAATTATGGTATCACGGTGTTGCAGCTAACTGCAATGTCGTAATATTTGTTATTATTATAAACATTTATGTAATCTTACATTCAAGTAAAAAATCATATTTTTCTTATAATAATTAAAGATGAATTTTGCTACTGATAACAAAAACAAACTTAATCCAAAATATAGTGATATCTGGGAATATTTTACACGCGGTAACCATCTTGGTAATGGACATTACCAAGCTACATGTAAGTTATGTTTGTCATTTTTTAAAGATGTCCGATCGTAATATTTTTAAAAGTGAGACAATGTAAATAGAAAGTTGGTCTAACTGTATCGTACGTATTATGTTACAACACTATGTATAGTTTTTGTGTAATATGTAAAGTTGCGGGTAATTTGACAAGCTTATTCATGATAGTTATTTAGAAATGACGATATTTAAAAGAAAAGATAAAACTCATTTCCTGCCAAATTTAATACTTCGTTGCAAGATATTTTTACCTTGGGATGAAGAGAGAAATCTGATTGCACAAGAAGTGTAGATGAAATAATAATAATAATAAAGATCACAATGCACTACATTTTATGCTATAGTAGCTGATAATGGCAATGTTCGTACAAAAATACTTGAAAGATCAAAAGTTTGACAACAAGTATTAGTGGTAATAAAGTTATGATATTAGAAAGATAAAAGTTTATTTTTTAAGATAGGATGACTCTAGCTAGCCATATTCGAATATTTGTAATAGTTACGAATACACATAATAATCACAAATACTCTTATATACTCGAATACTTTATTATTACGAATACCCTTATTTATTAATTAGATTTTGTGCACATCCTACGCGTAAAATTTTTAATATACACCTGGCTACCATTAGTTGGAAAAGTAATTTCTACATTATCATCATCTATAACTTTGGTGATCACACCTATCGTTCCATTGCAGATGTCGTGTTCAAACAGCTTACCAACGAACTCACGCTTTAATACTTAATAGTAACTTCTCGCTGTCATATAACATTATCTGTATCAAAAAAATTATCAATCATAAATTTTAGCCATAATTTAAAAGATATCGTTTATTGTTTTAAAAAATAGATTCTGTTTGATAATATTCAATCAACAATCAACATATTTTTTTTATTCGACTATATAATGAACCTTTTTTCGAATGAAAAAAAATTTTTTGAGGGAGCGAAGTTCATTGCAATTGCAAAGAACTCTTATTATTATATTTGCCGTACGACCAAACAGAACTTGACACAAAAAGAAATTAATTTGCAAAATTGACAAAAATTACGGAATTTAGAAAAAGACAGAAGTAACACGGCAAATTTTCTTGTTAAAAAAATATTTGCTATTTCTCTAGCAGTTGGACGTTTATCTGTATCATCATCCATACATCGGTAGGGGTATTAATCGAGAAGTCAGGTCTTACTCCTTCAGATATTTTGAATGCAAGACCTGTATCATGTGAAACATTACTAAAAGATTGATGAATCAGAAACGCCGATCAATTTATTATAAAACACGGAGGAAATTTCATATTAAATGATCAACAAAAAAATATTAATATAGGATTAACAGCCAAAGAGGCACCTGCCAAGAAACATGATCAGGATATAATGTGAAATCTAAAGAAAATATTGTTTAGCAAGGAATTGTTTAATGCTGGTGAAAGATAGTTTTGAGAGTAAAGCATAAATATACATTTGCAGAAATTATTGTTAGAAATTGTATTATTGTATTAACAGTATTGTCATAAATAAAAATATTAAATTTCAGACACAATCTCATAATATGAATTTGATATCTGGAATGTTTGTGCCTATAAATTATCATTTTACTATCAAGAATTGGTAAAGAATTGGGTCTCACCATCAATTTTTAATTACTAAAATGCCTGTTGGTTTTTGTTCCATTTGCAATATAGAAAAAGAAAGGCTCAACTAATGGGGAATTATGAGTTAAATATAAGTGAAAGATGTTCTAAATGCTATAATTCTTGTATTGCATATGATAGATATAATATAGAATAAGAAAACCAATTCAAATACTAAATTTAGTTACAAATCAAATTAAAAGTAGAATTAGAAAAGATTATTAGACCATCAAGTCAACACATTAAACGTGATTAAATATTAATTTTATTACTATTATTTGTTTTATACAAGTGTCAACATCATGAAAAAATGGAATTATTAATGATCCTGATGAATTCATAAAAATAGTTGAAGAAAAAGATCCTTCATTAAAAGGCCTTTTTGATATGCTGTATCAAAGTATGAACCTTTTTTCAAAAATTGCTCTACAGAAATAAGTCTAAAATGAAAGTGATGATTCTCTGTTACCATCATGTTCAGTCAAAAATCAAATGGCTTTATATATGTCAAATACTGCTACATCTACATCAGAAATCAATACTTTAGCAAACTTGGGTTAAGTCTTTTTAAAAAACGCGTTACAAATCATTTTTACTATGCAACATTTTATGATTTTGTGGAACAAATGAATGTCCACATGCTAATATGCCTCCATATGCAAAACCGCAGCAACATATTTAGGAATTAAAAATTGGCAATTGCGGTTGATTTTTGCATGATTATCATTTATTAATACATAGTGTAGGTCGTAGTACAATTAGTATTAGTACGATCCCTGAAATCTTTATGCGACATATTAATACATAATGTTCACTTGCAGCATACCCCGTAATAATAATAATGTAATGCATTTAAATACATCAAATCCAGTTTTTTTCATACGAAAAAAATAATTTAATTCTTTCAATTTAGGTGGAATTTATAAATTAATAAATAATATTAGCCACTAATTCCTTATTTATACTTTCTTTGTTAATTATATTAAATATCAGGTATATTTTTTACCCTTACCTCGTTCACCCCTTTCTATTATCTTCCAATTTCAATAATTACAATTATCAATTATTTTGTTTTTCAAGTTTTTCAAGTTATTTTTCCTCCTTCTACTTGACATTCTTAACCAAACCAATCAAAATAATATTTACTAAACAATAATTATATATTTACCATTTGCATTATATACCTGATATATCACTAACTATATAACAACGACAACAACAACAAAACATATACACAAAAAAAAC